AAGGGGAAAGAACTGTGCACGAGCATCAACCCTGACGAGGCTGTTGCCTATGGAGCAGCAGTTCAGGCTGCTTTGCTGACTAAAGGCAAGAAATTTGTCCCCAACTTAGTGCTATTAGATGTTACGCCGCTGTCACTCGGTACATCTGTAAAAGGAGATCTCATGAGTGTCGTGATTCCTAGGAACACCACCATTCCTGTTGTAAAAAAGAAAGGATTTGTAACAGTCAAAGATTTCCAATCTATTGTCTGTATTGATGTTTACGAGGGTGAAAGGACAAGAGCAAGCGATAACAATTTGCTTGGTTTCTTTAATCTCAATGGCAATCCTAAAGCTCTTCGAGGCCATCCTGTAACCGTATGTTTCAGTATAGATGATGATGGTATCCTAACTGTAATTGCTGAGGATGAAACCATTGGAAGTAAGAATTGGATTACCGTAACCAACGAAAACGGAAAACTATCAACTCAACAAATTATGAGAATGATTCAAGAAGGCGAGAAATACAAGGCTGAAGACCAGAAGTACGAAAAGAAAGTTAAAGCAATTAATGCTTTGGATGACTTCGTTTACAAGATAAGGAATGCTATAGATGATGTACATAATCCAAAAGAGAAAACGAATATCAACAAGGCAATTGCAGAGGCCGAGAAATTGCTTGATGCTAGGGAGAAGACAGAAACAGAGGTTTTTGTGGATCATCTGCACAGGGTGAAGAGCCTCATTAAACCCATTATGAAGATTAACTAGTTTGTTTTAAGTTTATGTTGGTGAAAAATGTAATTCTTTATGAAGCATGCTATCTAAACAATATAGAATTTCCAGTTTCAACTATCAATCCTTGAACACATTCTTGTTCTACATCTTGTTAACGTGAAGGTGGATATGCCTATAATTATGTGGGGTATAGATTTTTTCAATATGGGCATTCAGATGGGTAATTGTTTTTAGACTGTTAACATGGGTTGGCCTAAAATGCAGTGTGGATTTTATGGCCTGGTGAAAAAATACAAACAACCAATAACATCAGTAGGCAGATAATTACTTTCTTTATTTTTCTGAAGACAAAGCAGTACACCAGGGTGAAAAATACAAACAACCGATAATATCAGTAACAAGACTATGAAAAGAACCTTATTAAAATATTTAAAACCTATTCTTTACTGTGGTTTGATAGATAACATCAAACTGTGTCAAGATAACATTAATCACAAACACTCTGTCTTGATCACACAAGGCAAAATATCCCATCTGGAAATAAACTAACCATTGATGTCTGTCTGACCAAAGAGACTCTCGAGTTCCTTCAGATAATTCTCAAATACATCTACTTCAACCTGCTGGTTATCATCATCAAGCAAATATGTGGCCTTAGTAATTGCAGAACTGATGTTCAACTTTTGTGTCAAGGAAAGCTTTGATCTGTTATACTTGTCCTTCAAAGCATTCGTCATCTTGTAAACATAATCATCCAAAGAATTCATTGCGTTAGCCTTCCTGAGGAACTTCCTATCGTCGGCCTCATAAATTTTAGCTTCTTTAATCATTCTACTCATTTCTTCAGCTGACAGTCTCTCTTTGTTGTTGGTTATGGTAATCTGGTTCTTATTGCCCGTGGTTTGATCCTCGGCAGAAACAGATAGAGTACCATTTTCATCAATGCCAAAGCACACAAGAATAGGATAGCCACGAGGAGCTGGAGGAAAGGTAAGACTAAAAAGCCCCAGCAAATTGTTCTCACTCGCTTTTGTTCTTTCACCCTCATAAACTTTAATCGAGGCACTGGTTTGATCATCATAAACTGTTCCAAACTCTTCTGTCCTCTTTACAGGAATTCCAGTATTCCTAGGAATCATTACATTCATGATATCTCCCGTTGTATATGTACCAAGTGACAGCGGTGTCACATCCAACAACACCAGGTCAGGAACATTCTCAATGCCTTCACACAACAAAGCAGCTTGAACAGCTGCACCGTTAGCAACAGCTTCGTCAAGGTTGATGCTCTTGCACAGATCCTTTCCCTTGAAGAACTCCTGCAATAGTTGCTGCACTTTAGGAATCCTAGAAGAGCCACCAACCAGTACAACATCATGCACACTGTTCTTGTCCATCTTAGCATCGCTGAGACATCTATCTACGGTCTCCATACACTCTTCAAAGAGCTCCATATTGATTTCATCGAACTTTGCACGAGTGATCGAAGAACAGAAGTCAATACCTTGAAATAAGGCATCTATCTCAATGTTTGTAGTGAGTGTAGACGAGAGTGTCCTTTTTGCTCTTTCGCATGCAGTTCTCAACCTCCTTAGAGCTCTTGGGTTCCCACTAATGTCCACTTTGTATTTCCTTTTGATATGCTCCACAAAGTACTCCACCATTCTGTTATCAATGTCTTCTCCCCCAAGATGAGTGTTTCCTGCAGTAGCCTTAACTTGGAACACCTTATCCTTAATTGTGAGGATAGACACGTCAAAGGTACCACCTCCGAGGTCAAATACGAAAACATTTCTCTCTCCAACACTTTTGGTTCTCTTGTCAAGACCATATGCAATAGCTGCAGCTGTGGGTTCATTGATTATCCGCATAACATTGAGGCCAGCAATGGTTCCTGCATCTACTGTAGCTTTACGCTGAGAGTCATTGAAATGAGCAGGAACAGTAACCACTGCATTCCTCACAGGTTTTTCCAGAAAGGTCTCTGCAATCTCCCTCATTTTTGAGAGAACCATTGATGATATTTCCTCGGCTGAAAGGTGCTTTTGCTGACCCTTGTAGTTAACTACAACCATGGGTTTGTCATCGTCACCAGGAATGACCTTGAATGGCCACAACCTTTTATCTTTTTCAACAATGGGATCACTGCACTTCCGACCAATTAATCTTTTAGCATCTGCAGAAGTTATCAAAATTCTGATCATAAATCAGAGATTTAAAGGAAGGCAATGATAAAAAAAAAAGAGAACTTACCAAACACAGTGTTCTCTGGATTGGTGGCAGCCTGGTTTTTAGCAGCATCACCTATCAATCTTTGTTTGTCTGTGAAAGCAACAAAAGAAGGAGTGATGTTGTTGCCTTGGTCATTGTGGATGATCTCCACTCGCCCCTGCTGCTCCTGCCATACTGCAACACACGAGTACGTTGTTCCGAGGTCTATCCCCACTGCACATCCCTCGTTTTTTCTGGCCATAATCTTTCAACTAAATCAAACAACACAAAAACCGTTTTTGTCAGAAATCATAAGAGATACAAGACAACACAGCACAATCAATTATACGAATACGAAACTCAAGAACAACTCCACAAAAGAATGTCCTCTGAATCACCTTGTTTATATGCCTCAGAGAGTGGTTCAGTCAAGTCAAGTACAATATAGTATACAATCCAATAGAAACAATATTCTTCCATGAAAGATTATAATAATGGGAAATTCAGTTTTGTAATTATCTTCAATGGTGCATGAATCACCCACCAACTACAATTGACTATAATTTTGTGTGTGAACAATTGACTCTTTGTTATGATCTTTCATTCTTTATATTTATTAAAGGAGAGTTCCCACAGATAAGAGAGGGAGAGTGGATGAACACAACAACTATAAATTTAGAATATGTATGTTTACATGTTTCTTTTCATTTTTTAAAGGTGAAACTGCTACTTTGTTTTCTAATATAAGTTTTTATAATTTTAAATGTTTCTTTAGAAAATATTATTCAATATAATGTTTTAACAAACATTTAAAAGTAGGAAATGAACTGAAAATAATATGATAATTTTATAAATAAAAAAACGCAAAACAAACATTATAGTAAAATAAGTTTACTAGTACTAAAGACATCTCTTGATTGATAGTAAAAAAAAAACAATTATTATTCACAGACATATGTAAAATATTTTTTATGAGATAAAATAACTTAATGTAACATAGTTTCCATAAATTAAAATGTTCATTTAAAAAACCAAATATAACATGGTTTCCATAAATTAACTTCAGTCATGACTAATATTTTTTACTTTTTTGTTGATCTTATTACTTTTCGAAAGTGATTGTAAAATAAATTATCCAAATATATAGTTCCCAATTAAGGTTTTGTTTCTTCAACAAAGTTTGCTTCATACAGTAAAAAATCAAACTCGCATAGAAAAAACTTAACAATCTATTATAACTATGTTGAAATTTGAGTTTGAATATAATGACAGATATTATTTTAATCCCTTACGTTTCTAGTAATTCTTGATTTGTTTAAATCCTTGTAAAATGTTTTCTTTATTTTGCATTTTATAAAATAATGCAATTAATGCTTTGGATGACTTCATTTACAAGATAGGGAATGTAATAATCCACAAGAGAAACCGAAGATCAACGTGGCAATTGCAGGAAATTGCTTGATGTTAGCCAGCAGACAGAGACACAGACCAAACTTTTATCTTTTAAATAATCACAACCTTACTTAATTTCAGAAAATCTCTAATATAAGTTGATAAGTGTGGAATTTTTGCTTATTTTTTATGCAGAGCACACGTGTGATACTTTTATGTTTGTTTGTGTTGTGTAAGTCCAATGAAAGGGGAAATTACCACATGAAATCAAGAACAATATAACAAATTGAGCTACGCGTTTTCCGTCTCTTATCAAAGAAGATAATGAGAAATGGTTTGCTTTCCAAGTAACTCATGCATTATTTAAGGAAATACGTTTGCTTATACATACTAATATCAACAGAAAACATCTTTTTGTCCTAACACTGTGGCGTTTTCGGTACCTATTTCTTTCTATCTCTTATATTACACATAACATCATGGCTTTTCTCTGATTTTCTGTTTCTGTCTCTATCTGAGATCATGTTCCTTTCTTTTTCTTATCTTAATAACATCGACCCTAGAATTTACATGTGTTACTCTTTCACATCTTTGAATTTGTATCTAGAGAATTGCACCTGTTCTCTCTGGTGATTTTGATTAGATAAGTTTGCTTTAACAGTTGAACTTTTGCATATATATCTCAGTTTCCTATTTTGTATTTGTGCATCACATTAACTTTCTTTGTTCTTGCCTTTTCTTTGTTTTGACAGAAATTGTATATCCTTGATTATCACAAACAAAGTTGAAAAAAGAGATATGGAAACTACCAAGAGGTGTTGTCCGAGCCATCCAGAACGACAGATGCAATTGAAGCCACAAGGGTCACCCTACAGATGCAGTGGATGTCGAGAGGTAGGGTTTGGAGGCAGTTACCACTGTGAAAACAAGAAGTGTGGTTACATCCTCCATGAAGAGTGTGCAACTGCTGTTTCCCTTGCCTTTCATCGATTTTTTCCCAGGAGCCACTTCGAGTTCTATGAGAAAGCACCGGGGCACCGGGTCAGATACTGTGATGCTTGTGGAAATGATGTTCTAGGGTTTGTGTACCATTGCTTCAGTACAGGTTATGATCTACATCCATGTTGTATAAACCTGAAAGATAGCATTTCTGATGAAGAAGGGCTTGTGTCACTCGAACTGTGTCAGAAGGTTCCCTCAAAGTGTGTCCAGTGTAAGCATAGGAATGTTGTGGATGGAATCAGAGGATGGTCTTATGTATCTTCAGATTCTGGGGGAAAATGTTGTTACCATGTTTGGTGTGTTAAGCAACTGATTCTAGAGAATTTGAATAAGGGCTATTTTAGTAATGAAACCAGTTCAATTGGGATGAGTGACAGGGAGTACTCTCAGCTTGCAGTGAGAAACATGGACATGGTACGAAGTAGAAGAATTTCGAGGAGGTTAGGGACAATGAAGAAGTACACAAAGATTGCTGTTTTGGTATTTAAACTGGTATTTTCAGCTGTGTTTGGAAACCCTATCACTGCCATTGCTTCTCTTGTGGAAGCCCTAGTTTCAGATTAGGAGATCCTACAAGTGTTGTCGTTTGGTTCTTAAATTATGGCCATAATCCTACAAGTGTTGATTTGATTTACCATGAGTGCAGATATGATGTTGAGTGAGTGTCACATAGAGTTCAAATTGTTGTGGTTTTTGAGAATTTCCTGTATTAATAAAGTTCAAATTCAAGCTCTGGAAGTTATGGTTTTATAGAAGAAAGTATATATGTATGTTTGCATGAAAATGTTGCAGGTCATGCAAGCCAATTTCTTAATTGTCAAAGAAGCACGTTAGCAATGTTCTTTTCTTCTTTATATATTCTTGTTCCCATGATTACTATAGTTTTCAATGCAGTGTATGTTACTCGATGTGGCAGTTGTAAACTTGTGTTCAATTATAAGTGCACCTTTTTTTAGAATCCAAAATGAGAAACATTTGAATTAAACCCTAAAATACTAATTTAAAGCTCAAAGGGCTGTATATATATATGGTTTAGTTTTAAAAAATGAAAATGTGCTTGAAATTTCCCATATAGATGGATGGAAGCTGATAAAATAATATGATTAATGTAGCTTTTTTTTTCTATGGAGGGCATTTGAAAATGACTTGCCTAATACAAATAATTATCTTGTTTTGTGGAAATGTACATGAATATGTTGAAGGTAGCAATTTAGTTTGACATTAACAAACATATAGCTTCTTAATCATTCAAGTCATTGTCAATGTTGCTCGGCTGGGTTGTATTTGTATTCCTTTTTCTTCAGTTAAATGCAGGGAAAATACGTTAACTTTTCATTAATTTGAATATCCTTTGCGGAAGACATAAAATATTAAGAAAACACACCATAGTGTAAAACTGTGATATTAGAATATTACATGGTAACAATTTTATAAGTATTTTAAATCGGTTAAAAGGGAAATTGATTTAGTATGCATATATTATATCGGTTTATAATCGGTTAAAGAAATAATTAATTTAATATGTTTTTTTTATAAAGTGCAAAAGTCATTTTTATTTTTTGAATTTCATCTTCTCTCTATTGTTTCTTCTTCTTTTTTTTTTTTGTAAAAAATACTCTATGGTCTCTTCCTTACAATTAACCATTGTTGTTTTTCTGCTTTATTGTTGTCATCTCGTGTTTCAACAAGCTTTTTTTTCTCTTCAAGATCATTATATATTTAACAACCAATACAACAAATTAGTATTCTTTTTTCCCTCATTTCTCGTACTTAGGATTTTTTTTACGAAGAAAGTTTTCTTCGTAATTGTCTCTTATTAAATGTGTGTCACTAATTAATCTATACAGTGTTTTGCGAAGTCTCCTACTCTGTCCATGGTATTTGATGGTTCGTCAATGACCGATTCATTATTATTTCTTTTGATCTAGAATTGATTTATTAGAATATATATTATATAGTTACACAACTGATATAACACATATTTAACATACTACATCGATTGATGGTAAAATTGATCAAGTGCTTTAAAAGTTTATTTAATATATCCATTTTGGACCACTGATAGTTTCTTGAAAGAATATTGTATATTTATATAGCAACTTTGTGGAAATTTAAAAATTAATAATATATTTTTTCTTCACCTCTGGACCCTAGTTACTGTATGTGTCAATTTTAAACATAAAATAATTTTTTTAATTCTTGTAAATAATTATGATAATAGCATGGGTGAGGGAGGAAAGGTAGTTGACCTGAGAAAAACAAAATGACCTTATATAAGGTTTTATATATGTTTCTGGTCACCATACACAAACGCAGACCTTATTTATCAATTTTTAATAGTTATGATTTAATTTACTATTCAAAGAAAATAATATAGTGTTTTTTTAAAATTTAGAAAATTAAACCCAGATTTTCTTTTAATAATTTATTTTATTTTCTCATCTTTAACAGGAGAGTGTCCTTAAAAACTAAAATTTAAAGGGAGAAGTTTATTAGAAAAAAATAAAGAAGGAAAATACTTAAGAGTCAAGTCACGGCTTTATGGCTAAGGATGAGGATTACTCAAAGTCATTAAACATTTGGGAAATGTTTTTTTTGGGTGATTCTCCTGCACCTCATTGTCTTCGTTTTGCACCTCCAAAATATATTTTAATTTCAAGTATACCTTTAGCACAGTCAACGAGAATATTTTAAATTTTTAAAAAGTTGACTAATTTTGAAACTTTAACTCTACCGCATCTCAAACTCAAACCCTACCACTATTATTTTGTCTCCGCCCTCCCTCTTGTGCCAAGCTTTGTTTGCGATCCTCCTTCATGGTTTTTTTCTCACAAATCTCAGGTGTTTCTGGCGTCCAGGTTAGTACCCTTCATTCATGCATCTGCTTTGTTTGCTGTCATACAATCTATACATGTGCTTGGGTGTTCTCTTCGTGCTGGTTGTCGGAGATTTGGTTCGTGTTGGTCGCCGGAGAGCAGGCTGCTTAAACGCTGTTGGAGTTGCGGTCACAGACTTCCGCAGTTGAAAGTGCAGAAAGGTGGACAGAGAAACCGCATTTGGAAGTGTGTTAGTTCTTGCCGGAGTTCAAATGTTGTTTTAGGTTTTTATTTCTATGGTTTTTTTAATTTTTTTTATTAGGTTAGTATATATTTATTTTATTAGGTTTTATTTTTATTAGGTTAGTATAATAAAAACGGCTCAGACTAACCGCACATGGAAGTGCGTTAGTTCTTGCCGGAGTTCAAATGTCGTTTAGGTTTTTATTTCTATAGGTTTTTTAATTTTTTTTATTAGGTTAGTATATATTTATTTTATTAGGTTTTACTTTTATTAGGTTTTACTTTTATTAGGTTAGTATAATAAATTTAATTTTTTATGTTAGTTGTTAAATAAAATGTTTAATTTTATTAAAATATATGTTAGTATATATTTATTATAAACGTCCGTCTCCCTCCCCCACGGACGTTTAAGGGGCTGAAGACAATTAATTTTTCAATCACCCTGTCAGCACACCTAAACGTCCGATATGGGGGTCAGACGTGTATAATATTATAGACGTCTGTCTCCCTCCCCCACGGACGTTCAATGGGCTGACAGGGGAGTTGAAGCGTTCATTTGTTCAGCCTCTTAGACGTCCGGGACCCTCCCACGGACGTCTATAATATTATAGACGTCCGTCCCCCCCCCCCCCAACGCGACGTCTACAGTTTCACTTATTTACGAATATGCCACCAGTCAATTATTTACGTTGGGGGCTTTTGTGGACGGACGTCTATGGGGGACTGTTAAGCCAATTCTGCACTAGTGTATTCCCAGCACAGGACTCTAGTCAGAAGAACATGAAGCTGAAGGTGAAGATGAAGATGAAGATGAAGATGAAAATGAAGATGAAGATGAGATGAAGCTGAAGGTGAAGATGGTGGATTCCCAGGAGGTCCACATGACACCCCTCCTTACTTCCCACTATAACCAGGAAATGTTGATCTTTGCCATATGGCAGGGTTCGGGTTAGTTCATCAAACCTAATTTATTATTTAATAATGTTAGCATTTTTTTTTAT